AGATAAAAGAAACACCGAATATCCTCGCTACTAAGTAGGACCACCTCCCCCGCATCGAGACAGTCCCGCAATGCCCGGGAGTGTACTAATATCTCCAGCTATAGTGACTTACATAGTGTATTCACCGGGATCAGGTTCATGATGAGTCTTTGCGTCTCCAATCCGTCTTTATACTCCCCTTTGCCCGCTGCAAACATTCCGTTCAGGAGTGGTTTACCATGTACGTGACAAAGCTGATCAATGGGCATCAGCAAACTTTTTGCTCAATAAGTCCATGACAAAGTTCCCACCAGCCATCTTTCTCCACCATAACCCTTGGGGGTTTAGTCTACTTCCAGTCTTGTTGGGGGAGGAGAAAATCTTCAAAGTTTACGACGTACTCCAAAGTGCCAAGCCGACAAAAACGTTGAAGATCAAGACAGCCAACCTCTTGGGGGAAGGAGTCACGAATAGCCCTCCAGTTCATGGTCATACCAACCTTCACCTCTTCACCCAGGTAATCAACGGACTTTCTTTTAAAGAAATCCTCAAAATTAACGGAAACATCCTCCACCTTCCGCAAACCATGTCTATGTAGAAGGTCGCTCAAGTTTTTTACCGCAAGGCTCTGAAGGTCCGAAGTTTCTCCATACCAGGAGGCTGGCTTTTCCAGCCTCCCAAGTGATTGATGGCCACGACAGCTGCCGCCACCACCATATCCGCCATGGGGCACGGGCAAAGGCATGAAGTCCGGCTTCCCATCTTCTGGCCTGCCCATGTTGGAGCGCATCCGTTCATCACATGTCAAAGTGCCCAAGGCGCTCTGATACACTTCAGTCATCGTCCTGCGCGGCAAAGTGGGCAGCTTTTGCTTCCCAACCATCGTGGCAGTGTCTCCTGCATGAAGTTCCGCCGACTGAGCTTGGGGCTGCTGCTCAAAAGCCAAATCTGGTATGAATTCGTGAAACTGCTCCACCGAGTTCGTAGATCTTGTCCCCGGTTCTTCAAAAACACCACTCCCTTGTGGTTGACGAATCTCCCTGCCACCAGGAGACCATCCCACCCCAGGAGTGACCTGTATCATTGTTTGCTCACACGAGGAGCTGCTCTGCCACCAAGCAGCTCCCCAACATAGCCACCATAGTCGCCACCATCTGTAGGACTGCCAGCTTCTCCTCTCACCACTCGCCCAGCTACGTTGCCTTCTTCTTGCCCTCGCTCTTTCCTTTTCTCCCCTTGTCGCCCTTGCCGCTCTTCTCTCCTCGGTCGAACTTCTCTCTCCAATCCTTCCATTGGCCCTTCCCCTTCTCGGAGGTGTCTCGGGTGCTTGCTTTTTGTAACACCTTCACTTCTTCGTTGGCCTGCCGGCCAGCCTTCATGATTTCCGTCGTACTGGTGAGTGACGGCTTTTCCTGGGCAACTAGTTCTAGTTGCCGAAGCAGTTCGGGTTTCATGCCCTTCGAATGCCCTTCCAGGGCTTTGAGTCTCTGGGCGGCTAGATCGGCGGCACCGGCCACCTGGCCGCTCAACAAGAGATCCAACAGCAATCCGCAGTGGTGGGATTCTCGGGCAACCGGCCCACTCATCATCGCCGGCATGAGGATCTGGCGCACATACTGCGTGACCAGCGCCGGTACTGCTCCTTCCATCGGCTCGGATGCTGTTCCCATCGGTGTTAATAAGGCCTCCTTGGCTTCTGCAATCATCGCCATCGTGAGGGCGCCAGGGCATAGTTTCCACACTCGCTGAGTGGGCGTGGCCGGTTCGAACAAGTCCTTGTCCTCCACGCCTGCGCTTTCCCGGCTCGAGCTGGACGAACTCTCCGTGTCGGAAGTACTGCTGCCCCTCTTCTTGTTTCGACTCCTCCGTGCCACTTTCCGTGCTCTCCTCTTGACCTTCCGCCGGATCTCGGGCTTGGGATCCAATCCAGTGGAGGCGAACAGGCTGTCCAATCCCTTCTTTCCTTGGATCTTCAGGGACTCTCTCTTCCTCTTCTTCTTCTTCTTCTTTTTCTTGTCCTCGTCTCCCGACGTTCCAGGAGACCTGCCTCTCTTCTTCTCCTTGGCCGGCTGACCACCAACTCCTTTTCCCTTCTCTCTCAACTCCTCCACTGATGCTCGAAGTTGCCGCAACTCGTCCTCCTCTTCCTTCCCGCCGGCTGCCTCCAAGTTGAAGTTGTGGCTCCATCCAATGTCTGCCCGTTGAGCTTCCTGCACCTGGCTGCAATGCACGTAGGCCTCGTCCCAGACTAGAGCTTCGCAAAAAATCCCCACATAGGTGCACCCTCAACTGCACTCTCGGATGGAGTTCCGGAGACCTTCATGGCCAGCTCTCGACCGCTGTCTCTCCTCTTGACCTCCAACGTCTTGCCGATGAGCTCCACGTCCTCGTCCCAAAAGCGTCCTTTCACACGCACCCAAGGCCATCCCAGGAGAGTATCTGTGTCTATCTCTCCCGCCTTATGCCATCCTGCCGGCCGCCTCTTGGGAGGCATGCCCTAGGCTAGCGCCTCCTGTAGCCTCGGGTCCGCTCTTCCCACAGGGTCTGACGCCTCCTTTCCCAGTAGCGCTCGTTCTTGCCTTTTCTTGTTGATGGGCCGGTTCTTGTAGGCTCGAATAGGTCCAATCCACAACTGTCCTCTGCTAGGGCGACGAGGAAGCGGAGGTGGGTGATCAGGTGACCTCTGCCTTCGTGGAAGCTCTGGTCTATCCTCCCAAACTCCAGGAGGTCCCACTGCCAAGATCTCTGCCTCGTCAGCCTCTGTACCTCCACGCGAGGAGACTCCCTGTCTCCCCCTCCGGGACTGTAAATAGGGCTCGGGCTTCTCCTCTGCTTCTTGTCCTTCTTGTCACGACCGTTCGACCTGCTTCTTGATCGCCTCGGTTTTCCTTTTGCTTTGGGCTTCAACTTCAATCTCGGGGCCTCTTCTTGTTTTGATGTTTCCTCTGATTTTGTCTTTTTCTCTTTCAGCGAAATGGCAGGGTTTGTACTGGGCTTTGGACTGCGGGGGAGTGGTGACCGTGAATCTTTCTCAACCTGCCTTGTTTCTTCCTTGGCTTTCTCCTCTGATCCCTTGCTCTCCTCTGCAGGCAACTCCTCTTTGTCGGGCAGGCTCTCCTCCGCTGGCTGTTGGCGTTTCTTTCTCCTCTTCTTTTTCTTGGTGGCTTCCTCCTCAACCTCGTTCTTCTCCTCCTTCACGGCCTCACTGGGCTCTGCTGGTGGCTCAGCAGAACCAGATCCAGGAGTGGATTGGCAGGCTCCCTCACAGGAGCCTCCTCCTCTTTGCCGCCTCCGCGCTGAAGAAGTTCCAGGCCGCGCTCGAGGATCTTCGTGTAGGCCTTCTCCAAGGCCCGAGCCGCGTACTTACGCAGCTCTTCACTCGTTCGATCGTCGACTACGACCGACGCAACCCGGCCCAGGGCTGTGCAGGCGTCACACCTGCACTCCTTAGACCTATGCATCAGCTGCAGCCGAAACACTGCATAAAAGCAAAGCGCGTCTGGCGTTTCGTTTTAACCCACGAAAGCGTTTATCATATAATAAGCTTATATAAGGGTTCAAAGTGTGGGAATGATGATGTTTGAAGAACTTTACGACGAACAAAAGCTAGATGAACCCTACGCACCTACGCACCCAAATGCACAACAATTTTAAAGTTTCCAAAAACACTTTTGCTTGACGTTCTTTCAGAGCACACTTGTAGGTCGCTCTTTTTTGACAATTATTCTTGACACCCTTCTAGGCCGCTCTTGCACGATGTACGACATACTTGTAGGACTCTTGCTTGACACTGTTGTAGGACACCGTGCGCGACTCTTGCGCGAGCCGTGGTTTGATGAGGGCTCGCATGGGCGCTCTCAGCTGAGTGAGCCGAGCAATCTCAAAGACATCATGTCGCAGAATAAACCATAAGGGCCCGGGCCTAAGACTTTGAAGGTTGAATCCTGGTCGAGGTTGGAGACCACAGAGAGCTGGGACACAGCATTTCGAAGTTGTCGGGGCCACCGGGCTGAGACGTCCAATCCACACGAGAATTTGTAGGGATCCGGGATAGGCGAGAATGTTGAGAATACATGCGATCGAGCACCTTTAGGCTCAGGTCCACGTTGCTTCATCCCCTCTTGCTTTCCAAAAGCGGGCCGCTTCAGAGTTGTCGTCTGTCAATTTTCTTATTTATATTTGTCATTGATAACACCTCAACACAGCAACCACGATTTTTGCCATGGCTGCTAAAACTGTCAACTGTGGCTATCCGGCATCCTCGCAACAAAGAGGGTCGCGGCACCGGGGTATTCGCAACTTTTTGTACCACACCGCGCAGTTGGACGATTTCGACACTTTGCTGTTTCACCCGCATCACTGTAAAATCAAACAAATTACATATTTTAAGGCTTGTCAGGAATACACAGCTTCGACACAAACCCTTTTAACAACAAATTGTATACTGTACGCCAATCTCAATGGCAGGGCAGCCCTACAAAAACCTGCACCACGCACCGCGCAGCAAAATCACAAAACAAATCGGAAGGAAAGCAACATTCTAGATCCCGGAAATAGTTGCCTGCATGGAGGAACTGGAGTTGTTTCTTAGGTAATTATTTGAAGATGTTTACCTGATTAGGGTGATTAGGGCCTTTGAGGTCACAAAGTGCGAAAAAAAAAACATGGAGGGCAATTGCAACAAACAGTGCGAACAAAGCTGCAGCAACACCCGCGCAATGGGAAAGAACATTACGCAAGGAGCGTAAACAATTCACTTTTAATTTCTTGCCAATCAGGGTGCTCCTCGGCCCAGGAACTTTTTGGGTCGGTTGGATTGTGTGAAAACCTTCGGCATTTGGGTTTGGATGTTCATTCGCGCATCCGCATATGTGAACCCGTTGACATTGGCGTCCAAAGCTGTCCATCTCTGCTGCTCCTTCTATTGGGATGTTGAACAATTATAATTCAATTTGTGCGCCTTTCTAGCGTAGCCTGCCAAAAACATTTGAATCAAACAAACGTTGCCCAGCAACTCGCACCTTCGGAAAAGCGGATGGATAAAAACTGTCGGCTTTGGAGACCACTGCCCCGCTCCTGGTCGACGCGTGAGAATGCAGTATTGTACTACCTGCAAATTCACAGAAAAAGTGGATGGAACTAACTACTAACGGTTTACTAACGAAATGCGCAGCAAAGTCAGTTGACCGGCCTGTCGACCACAGCTTCGCCAAGCAAGTTTGTCGCTTCGTGTACTTTGAAACCTGTCATCCCAAAGCGCAGGGTCAATGGGGGTGCTAGGACAAAACATCGAAAATTACAACTCTTGTGAATGAACTCCATTCCTTGCTTGTTGATGCCCCTTGCATTTGGTTGTGCGATCGGCCGGACGCCACTTAGGCACAAGGGTCCTATATGAGTTTAGAAAAGTGTGCGGTGCACCTGCCATGTAGGCTTTGACACGTCAGTACTTTTGCATTGGTGCCGCGGAGCGTTTGGTTTCGACTAGTGGACCTTTGAAAGCATGAGCGCATGGAGACCATCCTGGAGGCCTGACCCTTTGATATCTAGCGGACCTACCCAGGGTATGCTACTGAATGGAGGAGCCTTAGATGGGCAGTGGTCGACCCCTTCACATTCGCGTTGGGAATGGAATGATGCTGATTGGGAAGATCAACTTGCTTCGGGTGACCCTGGGGCAGTGGCGATCCTTGGTCGGGTGGCGCTAGTGGTGGTGGGGGCACAGAGGAGCTTCGAGTGAGGCCGCAAGGCCCTGGAGGCCTCTCGTCGGAGTTTGATGGATGGATGACTGACTCCCAGATCAGGAACTTCACGACCGCCAGGGTTCCGCAGACCACCGCCGTTGTGAATGGGCGATGGTCTGGATCCTACGATGAGAAGGTGACTGGTGCTGGTGGTCGATGGCATGAAGGACAGGACTGGGAGGGATGGAGTGCAAATGATCCCAAAGGGAAGCCGACTGAACAGCTTGTTGTACCATCCTTCGATGGTGAGGCCACCAACGAAGGAGATGTCGGTCGCACCGCTCGTTCTTATTTGAGGAAGATTCAAGTGTGGTTGAGGTGCACGAAGATGCCGGCTGCTCAGCGTGCACTTGCTTTGTACAACGAGCTGACCGGCAGAGCTTGGGTCTATGCGGAGGAGCTCGATGTGGACATCTTGGCCTCCGACAATGGCGCGTCCTACTACCTCGAGTGGGTCCAAACGCGCTTCATGGAGGTAGAGGTCACGAAGGTGTCCAACATGATGTCCGAGCTCTTCAAACGATGTAGGAGGAAGCCAAAGCAGTCAGTGAGAGACTTCAATGTGGAGTTTGAGCGGTTGGTGCTTCGGTTGAGGGAGGTGCATTGCGAGCTACCTCCACTTGTGAAAGGTTGGCTCTACCTGGACAAGTTGTGGTTGGGAGAGCATGAAGAGCTGGCACTCCTTTCGAGCGTGAACAACCAGTTGGATTGTCGTCGCCTTCAACAAGCCGCCATGATCCAGGACCGGTCGATGAGACGCCCTCCCGGAGGAGATCGTGGTGCCTGGAAGGACAACGCCCGTTGGGGGAAGACAAAACATGCTGTGCACCTCACCTCCAATTTGGAGGACTCCAGCGATGGGGACTCGCCGGACGAGGGCGAAGTGGTTCCTGAAGAAGTAGCAGAAGAAGCTCACCTCGCCTATATGACCTACCAGAACGCCAAGTCCAAGTACAAGGAAACGTTGAAAGGTCGTGGAGTAGACCCTGACGAGGTGAAGAAAAGATCAGAAGAACGTTTGAAGTTGGAAAAAAGCCAGGTCGTATTGTTCAGCTTGCAAACGAAAGCGGCACTGGCATAAAGACCCCGAGTGTCCCATGAGAGGTCGGCGAGGTGGAGAACATGAGGCACAGGTGACCGTCCACAATGCCCAGATGTGCAATGTGGTGAACTCGTGCTTCGTTGCGCAGGATGAGAAGGGCCTGAATGACGACTTCATGCAGGGCGGCCTCCTGGCTATCATTGACACAGCATGCACCAAGACCGTTGCCGGGTACCCTTGGTTTGAGTGTTTTTGTCGCATGTGCGATGCACTCGGCATGGAGGTGATCACCTATGATCATGAAGAGTTTTTCCGTTTTGGGGCGTCCCGCATCTACACGTCGGCTTTCGGCGTGGCTGCATGGTTTGCTGTGCAACAGCGCTGGTTCCTAGTGAGGGTGGCCATAGTACCATGTGCAGTGCCTTTGTTGTTCAGCAGGCCGATTTTGGCGGCTATGGGAATGCACTATGATGTTGCAGGCCAAAAGGTCTGTTTGGAGCGCATGGGATTGTCCGAGGTGAAGCTGAAGACTAGCCCCACCCACCGGCCATCCTGCGTTGATTGTGAATGAGTATGGAGGACATCTCCACCCGCTGTGCCAGAGGGAGACACCTCTGACGTGTATGTCCCGTCCGCAGCAGCATACAAGGGAGCGCAGTCGACCGGAGAGAGAGAGAGAGAGTTGAGACCTTTGTTCTATCCACCCACCTTGTCCAGTGAAGCTCAACAGATGCTTTCGTCTTCTTCATGTTTGTGCAGTGCAAGCTTCATGTGTTGGTGGAAACGTGTGAAGAAGTCACGATATTTTTGGATTGAGACCCCAGAGGAGTTCATCCGCATTCATGTTGTGCCACGTCAAACTTTCTTTGTTCCTTCGTTGTGGAGTACACGTTTGACTGGACTGAAAGACTTGTTGATGAAACGATTGGATGGGACAAGAACCACAGAAGCTTTACTTTGTCTGTCGGATGGAGTCCTAGTGAACACTCAGTCAAGCGGCAATGAAGTTGAAGGAACATTCTTGGACAATGTATGGATTGGCCGCAGTCGCTTTTCCAAGATCAAAGTCGGCACTTGCTTCCTGTCCACTGCCACTGACGGCCACTCCAGCTCAGTGGATGCAGACTGCCTCGCCATGGAACATGAAGAAATCGCAGCTCCTGGCGGAGTTGGGAGAACGTGGAGTCACGGTACATCCCAACTGGACTGTGCCAGAACTGAGGTCCATCCTGGTGGAACAACGCCCATTGGAGCGACCCCCCAAGGAAGAAGACAAGATGAAAGGCCTCACCAAGATGACGTTGGCTCAGCTGGTCGCCGAGGCCGAGAAGGAGGGCATTCAGATGCCGGCCAAGCCCACACGGGGATTGATGATGCGACTCCTGCGCGATGCGAGGACCACCCCGGGCTGCACCATCGTCCCGTTCGGCCGCTACAAGGGCTGGATGTATCAGAAGGTGCCAGCTCAATACCTCCAATGGGCCATCAGGGAGATCAAGAACGATCCCAATGCACACGAGGATCTGGTGCGCCTTGCCACGTGGGGAAGCCAGGAGATGGAGCGACGGGATGCCGCCCCGGGGTATGTGAAGAAGAAGGACGTCGGCCGCGATCCCGAAGCGCTGGCGGTGGTGCCTCCGCCCTCAATGGCGTCGGAGAAAGGGCCCGCCAGCTCTTCAGAGGGATCTTGGGCCAAGGTGTACACCTACAGTCCGGGCTCTCGGAAGTCAAGGCGGAGAACCTCCCGGTGGACACGGACATTGCCGAGGAGTGGGTAGAGGACGACGCAGAGCGCATCCGGGCACTGGAGAACCAGTTGGCCGCGTTGAAGAAGAAGCAAAACTCGCCCAAGAAGTGCCGGATGCGTGGCAGCAAGAGTTCCATGAAAGTGGAGACGAAGATGAGCGCCTATGGCAGGCGTTCTTGGGAGAAAGGAGATTGCGGCGGAGGACTATAACACCGGTGAACGGCGGGCCGGTGGCAATCCCGAGTTTGAGAATGAGCACTTCTCGGACGGTGAGTATAACTTCGGTGCCAACAACGTGCAGGAGAATGTCCAGGGCTTGGACGAGGTTGACAATGTCACAACCTGCAGTGGCTCCGAGGCAAAGAGATCGAGGTCGAGGTCACCGAGAAGCTCAAACTGGGCCAGGATTCGCGCCCAGGAAGGAATTCGGAGGAGAAGATTTCAGAATCGGAGCACCAAGAAGAAGCTCTGGGACAGCGTGCAATCGCTTTTCACCGTGCTTGCAACCTGCTCGGTCGCTATGGGAACTTGGGCGCAAGAAGTGATGGGAGACCCACTATGGGATGCCTGGGCAGTCATGCAACCGCATCACCCTCATGAAGAACCCTTCAAGGTGGACTGGCGGAAATCCGAGATTCAGGAAGATATCGTGGAGGAGATTTGGACACAGCGTCCCAAGTTGGTTTGGTTGGCGCCTCCGTGCACGGTGTGGTGTCAGTTCTCCCGGTTGAACTACCCGCCTCAAGAACTACGGAGGATCAGACGCAAAGAAAAGGGCCTGCTCACCTTTGTTCAACGTGTGTTCGAACTCCAACAGATGCTGGGAGGCGTCGTGGCTATTGAAAATCTGCGTACTAGTGACATTTGGCGACAGCCTCAATTCGATAGCATCATGAAGGAGGAGAACGTCTGCTTCGCTGACCTGGACCTCTGTCAGTATGGGTTGGTGAGCGTGGCTGATGGCAAACCATTGAAGAAGGGAGTGTCCATCTTGACCAACAACCAGGTGTTTGCTCAAGAGCTCGCGGTGCGATGCCCAGGACAACATGAACACCGACCTATACAAGGAAGAGACACGGCTGCATCAGCCACCTACCCGCTGGACTTCGCCAAGGCAGTGGTGAAAGCACTCGACGGTGCGCGTAGAAATGAAGCCCAGACGTCGACTCATTTCCCAACAAGTACAGTACTGAGCCTGGGCCTGGGCCGGAAGAGGTGGAGCCTCCCCGAGGCGCTGAAGCAATCTACTTCAAGGGCAAGGTCAAGCCGATGGTCGCTTCGACGCTGAAGAGGATACACCAAAACTTGGGAAACATCCACCAACTCGGGAGTTGATCCGGCTTGAAATTGGGAGGTGCATCGGAGAGTGTCATCAGAGCAGCCGAGCAGATGGTATGCCGCACGTGCAGCAAGAGCACCAAGGCCAAATCTTCGAGACCTGCAAGTCCTGCCGTGGTGCTGGATTTCAATGAGGTCGTGGCCGCTGACATCATTTGGCTGGACTCAGTGGACGCCACCAGGCACCCTGCTTTGAACATTGTAGATGTGGCATCCACCTATCAAGTCGTACTGCCTCTCAGCAACACCACCTCTGAAGAAGTGGGCAGGGCGATGGTGGAAGGGTGGATGAGTTGGGCAGGGGCTCCAAAACACCTCATCGTAGACTTGGACTCAGCCTTCAAGGACAACTTCCTCCAGGTGATGAATGAA